GGGATGCATGCAGACATGAATCTTGAACATCCCAAGTTTATGTTTTACCTAAATACAATTTAATTGTCTCTTACTGAATTAGCAACACATGACATTGGAACTCAGGTAAAGGACAAGAGAAAGTAGCTTTATAGCACCTGCCTAACCCAGGCAGTGTCTGATTTGGCTTGGAAGTTCCAAGAGCCTGTTCCTAAATGCTGACAAGGATTATACTGTCTGGAAAAAAGCATAAAATACCCCTAAAGCCCAAGAGGTGCCCAATCCATAAGCATGTTCCACAGCTGTGTATTGCACACAGACTGGCACAGTCATGTCATCACAGCTGCTTTATTCCAAACATAGCAAAAATGGACAGTGTCCACATTAATCACACTGTTTTAGGCTGGCATATTTGCCCTGAAAGCATTACATTCCTCACCCTATGTGAGATTGCCAGTGAGCCACAATGTAAAGGCATTATGAAGAAAAGTATTGGTTTGTGGCATAATCATATTATGAAGTTGGAGAGACAGGAAGGTGGAGTCAGAAAAGGTGATGGTACGTGCTGGAGATTGCAACAGGAGTCAGTAGGGTTGCAGAAGCAGTTTAATTTTCATGGATGACAAGGAATACTTTCCTAGAGTTTAAATATCTTTTTTTAATTGACTTTTGCATGACCCATCAGTCAAATGTATTATCACTTACATGAACTCAACTTGGAGACACCCACAAAGGGGATTAATTGTTTTCAACTGAAAAGTACATCTTGTCTGCTTGATTAAATCTTGATTGTTGATCTTTACTGTTGATGATTTTATTTCAGTTGATGATTTAGTGTCTTTGAACCTGTCTGTTATAATTTCCTAGATTAATTCAGCACTGTAAAAGTGGTATTGTGCTGTAGTAGAGGCTTATAAACAAGTTATGATAATTATTTAAGGTTGCAAATGAAAGAGATCAATTGTATTACATCTTTGCTGTGATACCAGAACTATTGTCAATCTTTGGTTCTCTAATTCCTGGGAATTCCTTCCTCTTGAATATTTCACTTACTGTTGAAAATGCTGCTAACATTTCCCAACTAAAGAATTTGTTTTACAAGCAGATGATGACACTATTTGAGGGATCTGTGAGCTCCTACCTGTCCATACTGGCTTCCACATTCATTGGCATAAGAACTACTCGTCTATATTTACTTTTTTTCACATGCTGATATGTGTAAAGACACTGAATTGCAAGGAAATGTATACCTTTTTCTAACTCTGTGGAGTGCCTTGTGTTTGATGTTAAAGATGTAACCCCATTGTAACCAAGGTAACCCCCCGGTTTGTTATGTGATCATTTAAGATGCAGTAAAATAAAATCTTTGGTATGTCAGTGCACTGGCCTGCTTTTAATCTGTGCAGAGAGTTCAGTTGATTTCAGAGGGATTTGGAGGTGCTCAGCAATTCAGAAAATCAGGCCATGTATATTTGGGTGCCTAAATGTGGATTCTGTGCCTCTTCATAGACAGAGCAGATAGGTGTGGATTTCAGTATCCCTCCACAACCAGTGATTATAACCATGATTGTGATTAAGGCTTAGTATAAATCAGGAAAAGCAAACCTTGTGCAATGAAACAAAGACTTATTCCAAGTTGGAGTTTAGCAGCAGCATGTGTATATTTTCACTGAACCAAAAAATATTTAGAGTTGGGACCCACAAGGATCATCACAACCTACCCTTGGACCTGCACAGGACATCCGCAAGATTCACACCATGTGCCTGAGAGCATTGTCCAAACGCTTCTTGAACTCTCTTGGTTTTGTTCTTTTGAGAAGTTCATTTTGCAGAAAAGTACTGCAGACTGTGAGGATCTTGATCTGTATTTGATATTTGCCCATGGATTATGCTGTTTAGAAATCTTGTAAGCTTCTGTGGGTAATCTTTTCAAAGATGCATAACCAAGTTGTAAACAGGGAGGATTAGATTGGTACTATGATACTGTGCATGAACTGTTGAGCATAGAACAGTGCAGAAGTGAGTGAACGAAAGGCAAATTGCTCACTTCAAGCCCTGTGTTCAATCCTGATTAAGTCACTGGTAGAAATTCACATGATATTCTCCATAATGGTCAGCTGGAGAGTGTTAGTGGCCCCTTAGGTGCACTGATGGGCGGTAGTGTTGACAAAGCTGGAAGCAGGCACTCACTGCCTGACCTGGTATTGTTAAGGTTTACTTTGGTCAGTAAACACTGCATTTATAATGTCAAAGGTTTATGAAGGGCCTAATAGGGACTGTTCTGCTAGTTGCCTGGGAGAAGAGACTAACCCCCACCTGACTACAACCTCCTTTTAAGTAGCTGTAGAGGGTGATAAGGTCCCCCCTGAGCCTCCTCTTCTCCAGGCTAAACAATCCCAACTCCCTCAGCCTCTCCTCATACATTTGTGCTCCAGTCCCTTCACCAGCCTTGTTGCTACTCTCTGGACCCGCTCCAGCACCTCAATATCCTTCCTGAACTGAGGGGCCCAGAACTG